ATTGTGGCAGAGACTTCTACTTGCCCACTCTGATACCACTTTTTCCTCGGCCTTCAGAGGTAGCGCACCTCTGGAATTCCTGAGCTTTCCCAGGGTTCTGAAGCATCCAAATGTCCTTGTCACCACCTGGCTGCTGTTGCCTGCTCTCCTGTTTTTGTTGCTGTGAATGTATACCTTTTCTTTTTATTCTTTTACTGTCATTTAGTGAGGTTTGCAGATGGAATGGAGATAATTGCATATATTTAATCTGCTGGATTCAATCTGAAAGCCCAAGATATACATTTCAGAAAAATTTAAAAACTACTTCAAAAACAGAATTAAAATCTTATCTATTTTACAAAGTCCTCTCTCTCTTTTTTTTTTTTGCTGAGGAAGATTCACCCTGAGCTAACTTCTGTTGCCAATCTTCCTCTTTTTGCTTGAGGAAGATTCACCCTGAGCTAACATCTGTGCCCATCTTCTTCTATTTTGTATGTGGGTCACTGCCACAGCATGGCAGCTGACGAGTGGTGTAGGTCCACGCCTGGGAACCAAACCCAGGCCACTAAAGCAGAGTGTGCCGAACTTAACCACCAGGCCACAAGGCCAGCCCCAAAGGCCTCTCTTAAAATAGGATAACATTTAGGATGTGGGATGGACTTTAAAAAACATGCAATTCCATCCTTTTGTTTTTCTAAGGAAGCAGCTGAGTGCCCTCTAGTTGAGTATCTTGCCCAAGCAAATCTGACTTTTCCTTCAGGTCTCTTGCCTCTGGGCTCAGTGCTTTGCAACCCTGGCTGCCCAGCAGAATGATTTAGGGAGTTTATTGAAAAATCCTATGTCCTGGGCCACAACCTGGGCCAATTAGTCTCTCTGGGGGTGGGGCTTGGGCATCATTTTCAAAGCTCCCAGGTGGTTCTCAAGTGCAGCAGGATCACTGCGCTAAGCCAAGAGAGTCAGTCACTGGCTTAGCCCATTTCTAAAAGCATGATAATATGGACAGTAAGGCATCCATCCCATGTAATTACTTTTGTGTGTTGTCCAAATTTTGGATAGTGTCTATTTTCATGCCTTAATTTCACGAGCATGCATTCTGTTAATTTTGCTAGTGGCATTAATACTTTGTTCCATACTCATTTGGTAGAGGTACACAATTTAGCTGAGTTCTCACATCACATTTATACCCTGTAGTGTCTCCATGAAAGAGTTACAATTGTCAAGTGATGTGGCCATTTTGCTATATCTGGATTTTTGCATTGTCTGAGTGCAGTAATGGCAGAGAAGAATATTATGCACTTAATGGCTATCATCATTCTAGTGTGGATACTTTAGTAGCAGTCACTCAAATCCTCCATTATGATGAATTGATGTATCATCTCCATTAGGTCACAGGCTTAATTTTTTCCCCGGCTTTATTGAGAACAGGCTTAATTCTTAGAGGAGCTGATTAACTTTGTTGAGTTTTAGCTCTAGCCAGCAGAAAGCATCGTCAGTGCTCATTATGGTTATCAGGAATGAATGAGAGAGATCAATATATCTCATCACTACCAGAGGAGGGAAAATCCCACAATAGCTTTAGAGGAAAAGACCTACTGACTGGCTTAGAAAGAACTTTTATTATGAAGGACAGCCTACTGCATTTGAGTAGAACTCTATGGTGAAAGTAAAACGTGTTCTTAAAACTCAATACTATCTCAAGGCAGTTTTCTATTTTTTTGTGTGAGGAAGACTGGCTCTGAGCTAACATCTGTGTCAGTCTTCCCCTATTTTGTATGTGGGATGCTGCCACGGCATGGCTTGATGAGCAGTGTGTAGGTCTGTGCCCAGGATCTGAACCCGTGAACCCCAGGCCATCAAAGCAGAGCATGGGAACTTAACCACTACACCACTGGGCCCACCGCAGGCAGTTTTAATTCTATCAATAGGGGCCTACATACCAGATAACTTTGAAATATTTATAAGTCCTCTTTACCAGAATAGAATTTTTAGTTATTCAGGAAAAACCATTGTAACATATCTTACCACTAAAAGTGAGGTTTATTTATTCAGAACAAAGTGTAATATAGTTTTTCATATTGGAAATAAATCAGGATGCATTGAATAAATACTGTAAAAAAAAATCATAGTTTAACAACTGAAATCATAAATGGCTTTATTTAAACAAAACCCTTAGTGTGAAGACCAGATAAACAATATGATGATTTATGAGACAGATATAACTGCATGTGATTAAAGCTTCATGAGTATGTATTTATCATCTGTTATGACTCATTAGTTTTCTCTCTAAGCACCATCTTTTTTGGGTACTGTAACATGCATTTTGTAATTTTATTTTCTTATCCACGTAATCTGTGGAAGTAATCATTTATTAAAATGGCCTGTTTTCCCCCCAATAAAACTAGTTATATAAACTATATCAAAGTTTCTACCACTTATATTTTTAAAAGCTGAAAAATAAATTTGCTAAAATTAAATGCACCTGATTTTCATAGTTGAAAAATGTTTATCTTTACTTAAAAATGGAGGGAAAATCTCACTATGACCAGGACGAGCAACCATATCAAACTATTTAAACTATAGAAGCACATTCAGAGTCCTGGTTTTTACACCAAAACAGTCAAAGAGGCAAAAAATATATATATATTACAAGTTGGATGTGATCATAAGTTTTCTTTTGGTAAATCTTTAAAATGTCCTAAAAATCCTATTTGTGGGGCCAGCCCAGTGGCATAGCGGTTAAGTGCACACACTCCGCTTCGGTGACCCGGGGTTTGGATCCCAGGTGTGCACCGACGCACCGCTTGTCAAGCCATGCTGTGGCGGCGTCCCATATAAAGTGGAGGAAGATGGGCACGGATGTTAGCCCAGGGCCAGTCTTCCTCAGCAAAAAGAGGAGGATTGGCAGATGTTAGCTCAGGGCTGATCTTCCTCACAAAAAAAAAAAAAAATCCTATTTGTGACAATATTTTGATGGTGGAAAACCATCTTGGTTACAGTAGGACATCTGAAAGCATGAAAGCACTGTGAGTACAAGGATAATTGCTGCTTTATCTCCTAAAAGATAAGCTCCTCTGGTTTAACTCTTCAAAAATTACAAATTGAGATTTCCCATTTCGTATAAGAAGTTACCACTTCTGAGTACAAGGAGATTGTGACATTGTAACCAAGTCTGCTGCTGCATCAGCTGAGGATTTTACTAGCTTGCCATAAACTGCTGTAACAGCAGATAAACGGATAGTGTTAATTTTTGTATTAACTCCATGCACCTAAAATGGGCTCCATGCTCTGTTACCTTTTAAACTGTTTTTGTTATTTGATTTCACGTGCCTAAACATGCCACACACGGCACCATCCAACCTTTACAGCCTTTAGGGCACATCAGCTCTCTAATGCCACCCAAGAACCTCAGAGAAAGCTTGCGAATGTGTAAAGTGTTCTCAGAGAACATGTAAAGTCTCAAAAAAAAGGTTCTGAGCAAGCCTTATCTCTGTGCTTCATAGTGTCATCATTTTCCTTCGAGATGTGTGCTATCAGAAATATCTGATTTAGCAGGATTATTTGTGGTCCCCCTGGGGATTTGGTTCCTCTTTATTTGGCAACACGGAAAGGGAAGTTGGCAGTCAGTACTGACTGGCACAACAGAGGAGGCACCTGTACCGCCAACTAGAAAGACTGTCATCCAAGGACGCTAGTGAAAGGGTCCAGAAACCTCGGCTGCCCTGAGCACATTATTAGTACATTAGTCCAGCACGTCTCAAACTGTCAAGTCCATTCTAATCCCTGGGGGTCTTGGTAACATGCAGATCCTCAGCCAACAGGTCTGCAGCAGGATCTGAGACCCTGCATTTCTAACAAACTTCCAGGGTAGGCCACTGACGCTGGTTCCTGAGCCACACTCTGGGTAGTGAGGTATAATCCCCATAGTGCGATGGAGTATGTTCATATTCTAACCTTTTATGAAGCTTACGTGTTTTTATGCTCAGTATATCTTGTTGGCTAACCCCCAGGTATGTAATAAACACTTAGAAATTTTCCACCAAACATGGTTACAAATTATTCTGCCCTTTAAAGGAATAACACTTCAGTTACTTGTATAATTTACAAAAGCAGAACATTTTACTCCTTGATGAAACCATAAAACTATAGCATATCTGTATTTTTATGCTGTGTATAAAATCTTATTTTATCCTTTTATTTTCACAGGGCAATGAACAATTAAGTTGTTTTTAGACACAGTAAGAGTATTATGTAAAACTGATAGTAACAACAGTAACATATTTTGTCATTTTAGTTTTTTTACTTTCTCTGAAACTTTTATATTTATTCAACATTCATCAATAAGAATTTTAGTGCATATACTAAGAGCCAAGCTGTCATGATCAGAACTGTCATATTCTGATCTACTTACATCTAGGATTTTTAGCTACTTAAAAACATTTAACATAGTTCTTTCCCTCTAGCAAACTCTATTTAAAAGAAAAGTCAAACTTTTCCCTTCGATAGGATTATTTTAGAAGTTGCCAGTCATCATCGCTGAACCTAAACTGGGTAATCGGCAACTGCAGCACCACAAAGTGGAAATCTCTTGATAATGGGGTCAGTGGTTTAATAAAATATGTGAGTTTACTGCTAAAACCCAAGTAATCCCAGGCTGACAGTCTGGCTCATTCAAATGTGCGTATCCCAAACTACAAACAAGAGTAATGCTGGGACCCACACCCATTTCTCCTGTTGACTATACCTTTGCCAGAGGACCATGGGCTAATTTTTATGGGGTTAAGAATACAAATATGTACATTTTCCTTATAAAGAATTGTCTTAATTGTATTTCCCTTTAAGAAATAAAGGCTCCTTGAAAAATACGAAAGTTTCAGGAAGCAAATGCCTTGGAAGTGTTCTGACACTAAGCCACCTTATTCTTTTAAAATAACCATATTCTATGAACATGGGTGTGCTGGTGTAGCAGAATACAAGTAGGATTGATCAGTGAAGTTCCATAAGTTGTACTCAGAGGAACACAATTTTATAAAGACAGTTTAATTAAGACAAACAAAGCTAAAACATTTATATGTGGTGATGATTTAAACAAGAATAAGAGACTTTAAGGTGAACAGGCTTCTGAAGGTTATCAATACAAAAAGGATGAAAGGCCCTGCTTTCTACAAAAACTCTGATGTGCGATTTAGGAAAATATTATTGAATGTGGTATAGTTTAAAAAAATAACAAACAAGAAAGAAACAAAAGGCCCTGGAGAAAAACATTTTTGTACAGTATTTCTCAATGTCAAATTGTGTGATGTTTATACCATTACAATCAACATAATTATTTTATCTTTTGGCTTCCAGATGGAATTTTAGAAAATAACCTAGCAAGAAAATAGTCCTGAAAGTGCTTCCTCTTAAGTTCTTTGGTATAATTTGGTCATTTTGATAGTTATCAACCCATTGAGTAAGTACTTTAACATACATGTATCAACGAAAATGCAACAAGAAGTACAAATGCTTAGAAAACCACAATTGAAGAATAAATCACATTTTTGACCTCATGGAAAACAGAACTCAAAAAGTTTACTTGTGTTTCTGTTGCAAAGACATCCATACTAACTAGAAGAACATCTCCAACTAGATTTACATTAAAGAAATATTACATAAAACATCCCTTTTTGATTATTAGACTAACTGTTCTATATACTTTTTTTTAAGTAGAAGAGGCAAGTTTCAGCTTGAAAAAAGAATAATTTTGAATTTCATAAAGTTATACTCTTTTGTGCCTTCTGATTCAGCAAGTGTCGCCATCTAGAATTTCACGTCAGTTACACAAGGTTAAGGATTATTCTTTTATTTCAGGAAACAGCTAATTTTCCTCCTGCAGCATTTTCTCTATTTCCTTATCCCAGTTTTCATCTCGTTTCTCTGATTCTGTCACCACTTCGTATTCTTGAAGTTCCTGTTGTAGTTCTTTTTCCCAATCTGCAGAATCCTCTAAGAGAAACAAACGAGAAGGAAAAGATTCTCTCTGAATGCATAATGCTGGTTTTAACAATTCAGTTGACTATAATTACCTATGTAAGTCCTAGCCATGGTATTTTTTTAACATCTCAGGCTTCCTTACTGTGTGTGCTCAGGAAAACTGAACACATTTTAACAGTGACCAAAGAGAAATATGATTAGAAAGATAAATTTCTTAAACATAGAAGCAAAGGTATTATGTCATCATAAATTTTGGGTGTTATTTTGCTTTACCTACGCCTCTGCTTTTCCTTATGTTTAAATGGATAACTGATAACTAATATTTGGTTGCAATTTGATTTTTGTTTTTTGTGTGTGAGGAAGATCAGCCCTGAGCTAACATCCATGCCAATCCTCCTCTTTTTTTTGCTGAGGAAGACTGGCCCTGGGCTAATATCTGTGCCCAGCTTCCTCCACTTTATATGGGACGCCACCACAGCATGGCCTGACAAGCGGTACATCAGTGTGTGCCCGGGATCTGAACCCGGGCCGCCAGCAGCGGAGCGTGCACACTTAACCGCTACGCCACAGGGCTGGCCTCGGTTGCAATTTAATTTTTACTAGTACCGATGATGACGATAGCAAAAACAGCTAACGTTTCTTGAGCATTCACTGAGCCAGGCACTGGGCTACCTGCCTTCTACATAGCACTCTTTGTTTCCATCCTTAGAACAATCCATGGACGAGATACACTATTGCACACATTTTACAGGTGGGGAAATGGAGGCATAGAGAGGTTAAGTGACTTGCTCCAGATCACACAGCTTGATTGCAACAGACATACGGATGGAACTAGATCTGCAGGCTCCACAGTCTGTGCTTAACCAGGTTAGCAGCAGTCTCCCTAAAGTGGCAACAGCTACCAGGACCTGAAGTCAGGCGGTCTCCTGCCAAAGGCTGGCCCCCTGTGTGGGCTCCATCTGAGCTCTCACACCAGTCTTCCGTGTTCAGATTTAGAGCTGCAACTTTCCACTTGGACACTCAATATACCTCTGTATGTCTGTGTGTGTGTGTACACGTACGTATGTATGTCTAGGATAAGGCATCGGCTATGTAGTGTTATAAAATAGTGAGAAAACAGACCGGCTATTTAAAAAGTAAAGCTAAAATCCATTTTCATCTTTCAAAAACAAATTTTAAACTAGCAGCTATAGAGAAAACAAAAACCAAATGTTTTCAATCTTTTTGCAGCAGTGACCTCAAGGGAAAAGACATCGTGTGTTGCGTAGCAAATCACCAATTTCACAAATATTTACTAGGTGCTCACTGGGTGCTACGCTCCATGTTAGGTACCGTGGGAGATAACAAGACAAGTCACAACTGCCCTTGAGGAACTTACAATTTAGCTGGGGGGCCAAGACAACTCATACATAAAAGAATATTAAGTGGTTCAAATTATAACTAGGGCAGGAATTCAGAGAAAGAACAGCTCATTTGGAGCAGCCAGCTGGCACCTTATGAGTCCTGACCCAGGGATCCTTCCAGTCTCCTGTGGGGCCTCTGCTACTAGTCACGCCAGCAAAAAGGGAGCCAGTGCAGTCTGCTCTAGCTATTGCCCACAACACATGGGGCTCACGCCGCCTTCATCTGCAGTGGCCAGCAGCCATCTTTATCAGAAAACAGATGGGGTGGGAGGGGTCTGAGGGGCCTGGTGAGCCCAGGTTGTCACTTCCCCACTCACTTCTCTTTCCCCCACAGCTCCCCGCTCCTCCTTCCTTCCCAATTCTCTCCTCCAGAGTCCCTCCGCAGTGTGCAAACAGGGTTCCGCTTCACCTCCGGGAGCACCTTGCCGTGCTTTCTGCACAACTGTGGGAACAACTGGCTTCCTGAACACACTGGAAGTCTCAGATGGCTTTGTGAAATACTCTTTATTTGATGATGATTAACCCAAGCCTTTGCTTTTCATCCAGTAGAAAGCCAGTCCCCCCAATCTATACCTTTTTTCTAAATGATTTTTTTAAAGGCAGCCTGCTCCTTCCCAGAAGTGATGCTCTTGTGGCACACAGCAGCTGGGAAAATAATTTTCTACATACAAGTACCAACCTAAGCAGGAGGGCAGCTTTTAAAGCAGAAGGCCAGAGGGCAGCATCTCTAAGTGAAAGGGCGTGCACACTTCCTCACCCGTTCCTGGCCACATGTCCATGGGGCTGAGGTGCCTTGGACAAATCACTTATCCTCTCTGGCTCTTAGTTTCTCCTCTCTAAGCTTCTGTGCATGCTTAGGGCAAATGGACATGAGGTCTGGTCAAGTGTGCTAGAATCCACCTTCTAGTGGGGAACAGAGAAGCAATTCTGCTGCAAAAGTTACAATATACTTTTGTATATCTGCTTCAGAATAACAACTTTCTACAATCAACTTTGGGACCGGGGAAGAGAACAGTTGTTTGTTTGTTTTTTTACCTTCTAGTACGGCTGTCTCCTCCTCCTTTTTGTTAAGCACCAGTTGCTCCATTTCCTTTCTCAAATCCTCCTGATCTAAGTTACAGGCATCAAAGGCATCACTGACAAACTCAGAAACACCTGGGCTGGTAGAAATCTCCTCTTCATCCTGAAATGCAACAAATGAGCTCAGAAAATGGTTTTCTGACATTTATGTGCTAGATAGAGCTCTGGTTTATAGTCATCTCACAATTTAATGCAGCATCATTTTCGGTTCCTTCCTCTGCTTGTCGAATGCTCACTGCTCTCCAACCTTCTAACCTGCACAGTTGCTTGGTAACTAAATGAGTTACCACCTGAATCTATTATGCTCACACAGTTTGGATCGCTCCACTCATTCTGTCCAATTCCTGATGAGCACATCTAGAATTACTTATGCCAGGGAATTGCCTCACGTCTCAGCTCTAGGTCCTTAAATATTCAAGTACCAGACCCCTCTTCTGCAGAACAGATAAGCCCCGTATTCATAAGTAGTTTGAAATGGTATCTGAGATAGTTAACACAGAGTTACTTCATTTCCAGACATCAACTACTAGGTACAACATAAAACTGTATTACCTCTTGAGTTTTAAGCTGAGATTTGATTACGACAGGTGGCGTTTTGGGCCGTACTGCCTCTAAGAAGTGAGAATAAAAGAGACAATTGCTTGATTCAATTCTGAATACATATTATAATAACAACTAAAATATCCACAAGTATGACGATACTAAATAATTCTCAGAAATGGGCTTTTATGTTATGCTTTCGGTTTTTCTTAAGTTATTACAAGAAATAGCCAGGTAAAACCATCTCAACCTCTTTCTTTTGGGGATATTTTTTATATGTCATCATATTCGATGCCCTTTAGATGTCCTGCAGGAAATAAATTTTGACTTCAGTGTTAGCAAAATTCATTAAAGGATAGTTCTGCTCTTTCTTTTAGGATAACGAGAATTAAGGTATTTAGCAAGTTTCCCTTCCGTCACGAATGCTAGAAAGCACAAAGTAAAGGGCACTGCTCAGTCCCAGCTTCTCCTCTTTCTCATGGGCCGCATTTTCTAATCCACCTTACTAGATGTGCAGTCTTTACTGAACCCTGTCTGAAGTCCATTTTGTTATACAGGCAGTATCTGGTAAAATGGAATTTTCCAACAAAATTAATAAAAAGAAACACAAAGAATGGTAGACAATTGGGATTCATATTAACATCTATATGCAAAATGGTAAATTTTACTGTGTAGAGCAACTTCACTACATTTCCTTGACCCTAAATGCAGTGTCAGGTCCTTTCCTAGCGGTCTGTACAACCTGTGCCTAGGACACATTGTTTGGCATAATCATTTAAAATTCCATGCATGGTTAAGTCTCCAGTTGTAATTAGTACCCTATACACAGCAGGTATTCATTAAACATTAAAAATATGACACAAAATACATTTCTTATTTTAATTATTTTTACAGTTGTGAAATCGTTGCTGATATTATAAACACTTTCCTCAACAAACCAGAGGTAAACTGTCACAATAAGAGTCAAATGTGTAATGTAACAGTGGCCAGCTTGGAGCTGGATATTTGTTACTTGGAGTGGAACGGAGCTTAGTTCTGCTCTACAGACTACAGTACTGGGGAGACATCAGGTTGAACAGAAGACTGAGAAACAAAGAAAAGGGGTAGACTGAATCGGTGAAGGACAGAAGGTATAGTAAGAGGCAAGGAAAGAGATGGGAAGATGACTGGTGATCGAGGGAGGAATAAAAAGGAAGAAATAAAAAACTGAAGCATGAGTCGAGTCGGCTAAGGAGCAATGCCCCTGCCCGTTTTCTGATAATAAAAGAAGACTTGAGCATCCATGGTTGTCAGTTAATTTCTTTAACTTTGACTTCTGTTCTTAACTCCACTTTAAGTCCATGTTCATGTAATGTATTTGATCTGGATTTGATTAGAAAGATGGATGGCAGTGAAAAATGACTTTTTATATTGTTTTATCCATAATTCAAATTTCTTTAAAGGAAAAATAAAATGTTTGCTTCCTGGCTTAAAAAAAAAAAAAAACTGAAGCACAAAAAGATACCAAAGTAAAGGAAAGCTTGCGGAAGAGGTGTGAGCGGGGTCAGAGAGAGGGCAACAAGAGAAGAATGAATATTTCCTCTGGAAAGAAGAGAATTTTCCATAAGATGACAATGACATTTCTGGTACATACAAGATGACAAGCTCATCAGAGTCTCTAAGTTAAGAATATTTTTAAAGTAACTCTCTTTTTCAGAGTGAAGTTTCCTCTGAATATACCTGTCAGTGGCAACTCCTCCTCTCTGCCGTGGCTCTTCTCCTCCTTTCCGGCGGCCTGCTGCTGGGCCGCCAGGGCCGTGAGCTGGGCCGACTGCTTAATCAGGGAGACACGGTAAAAGTAGTTCCGCCAGAACACTTCTTCCTTCACGCTTTTAAAGACAAACAACACCACGTTTGAGAATGCAGGCATACAAATGCACGCAGTGGTTATCTGTTGCAGTGGAGACTGGAATAGATGGTTTTTAGGGGCATTTTCAAATCCAAGTGAGGCCAAAGGAGATTCTCATTTGCTTTCTAATTGAAAGCTGAATAACAGGATAAAAAGAACAGCTATCTTCTCCACAGCACCAAAAGACAACTTACAGAACACCAGTGACACCTCAGGGATTTTAACGATACCAATACTGCCTTCAGCAGAGGAAAACAGGGTGCTGCTGTGAAAGCAGCATAATCAACCTGGGAGATTGGAAGCGGAGCCAGGACTCCACCAATTATTTGCTGTTTACTGAAGGATTAAGTGCTTTCAAGCAGTGAGAAGAAAGGATTGTGGGTGTTGTTCCTTATGAAAGGAAATGTTTGGCAGTTCGCAAACAACTAGCAATCAGTAAGAGTTAGCAATGAGGTGGGAGAAGGTTGATAAAAAGACTGAAGTGCAGTTCAACCTGAGAACTCTCAGTGGTTCTCACACTTGTCTGCATATGAGAATCACCTGGGATGGGGTGTTGGTGTGCAAGTGGGGTAAGGTAAGTGTCCACACAGGGGGGTGGCCTGGAATGGGGAGGGAGAGCCTGAGCAGGGGAGGAGGTGGTGGTAAAAATGGAAGATTGGTTACACATGGGGGGATGGATCATTAAGTAAAAATATTACAGATATGGAAACCAGGTTTCTCAGCATCAGAGAAGGGAGTTACAAACACTCAAAGGGAAAATTCTAGAATGATCCCTGTCATGAGGTATCACTATGAACACATGGTTTTCATTCAATAGAGATGCAAATAAGTGCATGTGTATGTACACCAGCACACACATATTTTCTAGCTCTGTCCACTGAGTGGGCCAAGGAGTAGTGACACCCCAAGAGCAATGAGCATGCCTAACACTCAGATCTTGGTTTCTAAACACCATTTTCCACTAAAAGGAATCAAAGCTCCCGGGATAAATGGCTGATGCCAGGGGTACAGCAGGGAAAGAACAAGATGATCCTGGACTATCTTATGCCAGAAAGCAAGGAAATGCTCAAAAAATGATGGGCATTGAGTCAAAAGAACACAGAAGCCAGCTTGAATGAGCTCCCACTGGCCAAATTGGTGACAACTTGGGCATTAAAATAAATAATGATAGTAATGAATTCTAACAATTGTGTAAAACAGGACCATGCGTCCATACAGATATAAATAAATACACGAATACATTGTAAGACTGAAGATGAATGGAATTTTTAGAGTTTCAAAGTACCTCCCCAGGAAAATACTTATTAATTTCAAAGAAGAAAGGAGTAACTTCACAGTCAAGAAGCCTGGCAGAAACCACCTTCATTAAGTGACCAAAGAATGGACAGTAATGGGACAAAATGGCAGTGTGTGCCACCTGATAGGATGCAACAGACTCAAGGAGACTGATGAGACATGCAACACGTGAGTCTGAACTGGATCCTTTAGCTAAAAAGGATATTACTGGGCCAAATGGTAAAAAACCTGAATAGGGCCTGAGAATTAGATGGTAATAATGCAAAAGTGACTGTTTCCTGACTTGGATGGTTACATCATGGTTATGTAGAATCCTTGTTTGTAGGAAATACACACTAAATTATTCAAGGGTGATGGGGCATCAGGTCTTGGATGATTCAGAAAAGAGTTCTTTCTACTGTACTTCTAATCTTTCCTTAAGTTGGTGATTGTTTCAAAATAATAATAATAAAAAACACTGATGACTGTGCTCACCTCAGAGCAATTAAATAAAAATCTCAAGGGTGGAAACAAAGCAAGATTCAACAAAAAACATAAAACGCACAACCCCCCCCAACCAAGGACAGCCAAGGAACGGCTTTAGTGACCTGCAGAGTATGTGCGGGGGAGGGGGACTGCCTGGAGGAATTGTTCACTTTGTGTTCCAAAAACATTTTGCTAATGAAATGACAAAAGGGTAGGGGCTGGCCCTGTGGCTTAGTGGTTAACGGTTAAGTGCGCGCGCTCCGCTACTGGCGGCCCGGGTTCGGATCCCGGGCACGCACCGACGCACCGCTTCTCCGGCCATGCTGAGGCCGCGTCCCACATACAGCAACTAGAAGGATGTGCAACTATGACATACAACTATCTACTGGGGCTTTGGGGATAAAAAGGAGGAGGATTGGCAATAGATGTTAGCTCAGAGCCGGTCTTCCTCAGCAAAAAGAGGAGGATTAGCATGGATGTTAGCTCAGGGCTGATCTTCCTCACAAAAAAAAAAAAAAAAAAGAAATGACAAAAGGGTAGGAGGATGCCTCTTTACCCCCTGGTTTACTAGAAGGGATGCAGGTTCTTAGAATGGGGGTAAAGTTGAGGAAGAAAGCATGACAGAAAAAGACTGAAGGAGTAGAATAAAATCAGTGAGAACGAAGAGAAAATCCTGAGACCCAGGCTTGTGAACAAGGACAAGGCTTGCCTTAGATAAGACATCAAAATACACGGTTGTCACATCTGTGAATGGCAAAGCTGGGCCAGGAAGCTAGCTTTTTAAGTGACAGAGGCAAAATGCAAGATTATCTACATAAGCTAGGCTAGGTAACAAGACGATACGCTGCTAGATGCGACCCATCTTTTCTTTCATAAATTCCAGCCACATTTACCGAGTGCCACACACATCAGGCCCCAGGCTAGGTGCCGGGGGAATTCTGGGATGAATAAAGACAAGTTGTCTGCCAACAGAGACGGTCACAGGAATAATAATGACCTCTTACTTGTTAAATTCTCACTACGTGCCAAGCACATTTCCCAAACTCACGTGGCCTCATAATATCTCTCAGAAATAGTTCGGCAGGAGGGAGACCTGGCTTAACAGGGGTTCAAGGGGTCATGGCCGATCACAAGTTTAGCTGAGCAAACAATGGTAGGCTGCAGCTGCTAGAAGAGCTAATGCAATCTTACGCTGCATTAAAGAGCAACATAAGATACACTACAGCGTGCCCTTCTGCAATTAGACAACACATTGTATTCACTTTGGGGAACTCACCTCGATGGTGAGGGGGTACAGAGATTAAACCACCTTGGGAAGAAATGAAGGAACTGGGCTGTTTACCCAGATAAGTTCATGGTCTTAAACAGGAACATCACAGCTATACAAAAGTGAGATTAGCCTTCCCATGAGGTAGTGAGCTGCCTGAATATTTTCAAGGTCACTTGTAATTTTGAGCTCTACAAAATGTCCAACATGAAAGAGGTGTTCTATCTATCTACAGTGGATCATGGGCAATGATTGCTCTCTTAAAGACAAACACCTGGGTTGTTGTCTAGAGTCTCTCCCTCTTGATGTAAGTGGAAGCACTGCAGACTTTCTGGAGAAAGTCACAATGCAGATGACACACTAAAGGTTCTGAGAAGCCGTCTGATAAAGAAAACCATCGAATGCAGCACCTCCCAAATGCTTATCTGACCACTTATGCTTTCACGGACTATTTTATTTTATTTTTTTTATAATTTATTTATTTATTTATTTATTTTTTCCCCCCAAAGCCCCAGCAGATAGTTGTGTGTCATAGTTGCATATCCTTCTAGTTGCTGTATGTGGGACGTGGCCTCAGCATGGCCGGAGAAGCAGTGCGTCGGTGTGCGCCCGGGGTCCGAACCCGAGCCGCCAGCAGGGGAGCGCGCGCATTTAACCACTAAGCCACTGGGCCGGCCCATCACGGACTATTTTAAGGCAGTAATATGCTGTGAGCACCCTCTGGGAAACAATGGGCATATGTCACAGTTCAAGGCTGGAAGGGGCTGGTGATTTTCCTACTGTCGTCAGAGTGAAGGCCTCAGAGGGTGTCTGTGACGCACCAGCAGGGCCCTGTCACATGCCAGCACTGCTGTCATTGGGAAGTGCTAACACACTAAAAGGCGTTTTGAAATACAGAGCAAGTGTTGTTTTGGTCTGTTTTCTAAATTGTTCCTGGTTAATGATGGTTTCTGTTCAGCAAAAGTTTCTCAAATGATAAAGATGCACTTCTGTATGCCAGAAAGGAAAAGACCAGAAGTCCTAGATGTGTGTGTGATGGCTCATTTTTGTTTTATTATGGAAATTTCAACAAAAGTGGAGAGACTAGAATGAAGAGCTGCCATGAACCCATGACCTAACTCCAACAATTATCAGCATTTGCCAATCATGTGTCATGCCACTCTCCCCTGCACACACACTTTTCTGTGGGTGGGAGTTGGGATATTTTAAGGCAATGCCAGATATCATATGCTTTCATCCATAAATACTTCAGTAAGCATTTCTAACAGATAAATACTTATAAAAAATAATTCTAATTTCTAAATCATCCCTAACAGCATTAGAAGTAGGAAACTAAAATTATATTACTCAATGAGTCATTTACTTAGCCTGTGACAAATCAGAAATACTATTTTCCAAATACCAATTCTCCAAAGCTTTAAAAAAATCTAAAATTACTGTCAGCAGCGAGAGGGAGTCAATACCCAAAACTATGGACAGCTACATGCCTGCCATGAGTACCCTAGGCCACATGTCCCAGCACCTCAGGGCCTCTGGACAGTCCCGAGAGCCCTGGTAGAGAGCCCACCCAGAGGGATTCAAGTGATCTTCAAGTCGATGGAGCCTTCAGGCGTGAAGCCCACCTGAACCCCAGAGCTTTGCTACTCTTCTCTCAGGAAGAGGCAGTTATTCAGAATAGGTACAACTTCAAATTCTGAGATGAAAGAGCTTCAAACAGATACATACATATGAACTGTTCAAACGCCAGCTCCCAGAGTTTTGTAACTGTAACAGTTAAAAATAGATCAGATGGTAAATTTTTTTATATTCTTAACTAAAAATAGCTATTTTAGACACAGTCTAAAGATTAAATTTGTAATGAGATTTTTGCCATAAAACACACACTTTTCTTTTGGGAGGGTGGGGGAGGACTGTAGAAATTCATTCTCTTTATGGAGGAAAGAGTTTCACTAAAAAGAAAAAAAAAAGATTCTATATAACTATTGTTCCAAGTCTGGAAGAACACTTCCAAAGCGTTCTTCTCTCACAGATAGAAGGCCTTTGCTGCTGTGTGAACCAAAAGGCTAGCAAATATTTGTTCAAACCCCTTTTTGGGCAGCTAAAGATCGCAAAATGAACACATGTTTATCTGTGCTCCCTTTGAAAACACCATTAAAATATTAGAAAAGGACTTAAGTAGATAAAAACCTCACAATGACAAAGAGAACTGGTGAGGAAAACGATAGTGGAAGCTGAAAAGTTGATGGGCAAATAGTAAGCTACTTTGTAGACCAGAGAAAGCTGCGCTGAGCTGCCTGCAGCAGAGGCAGCCAGCAAGAAGCAGGCCTGTTTATCAGGTGGAAGCCCAGAAAGACCCGGGACAGGAGGCAGCAGGCTCTCTGAAGGCCGGGTGCAGGCCGGGTTCAAGACCGGAGCAGCTCGGGAGAGACCCTGAAGGAGCAGTGAGCCGGCTCTGACTCCCGTGCCCCACTTCCCGCCAGGGACTGTGCTGCAGCAGAGCCCGACGGTTCTGAGCCGCCGCACTCAGGGACAGCTGGTGCAGCTGAGAATGGGGGTGCGGTGCCGCACTGAAGCCACAGGAGTCAGGCTCTCCCCGGTGTTCCGCCTGCGGCCAGGCAGGAGGCTGAGGAGTCCTCTCAGGGAAGCCACCAGGCCCAGTTCCCAGCACCCTATCAGCGTGGCGCCTTCAGATACAAAGGACGAGTAAGGAAAGCCTGCAACATGCAAGACAGAGCCCAGAGCGAACACAAAGATTCAGAGAAAAGAGCACAGACAGAAGAGCATCTGAAGAAAACTACACTTCACGTACTCAGAGACCAGTGAGAAACTGAGTGGATCCATATAACAAGAACGTTCATGGAATAAGGAAGATGGCTGACTTGAAACATGCGACAGATGCAAAACAAGGGACTGGAATTAGAAAAGGCGAGGAAGAGCCCTGTGGTGGTGGAGGGGAAGGCAAGGGGGCCCTCTGCTGACGGCCGTCAGGGGTGTGTCCCAGAAGACAGTATGCCTGCCCTGGAGCTTAAAGGACAAGCAGGGATTCTGGGAGGGGAGCAGAGCCTTGGAGCAGAGGGAAAGCGGCGGGTGGGAAAGAGAACAAGGACGCTGCTGCCAGAGCAGAGCCTGGGAGGCAAGGCAGCAGCCAGGCCTCCTCGACCTTAATTTTATTCAGCAAGACATGGGCACATTTGTTGTTTTTGTAGGAAAATACATTCTACCTTCTAACTGGGGATAAAAGAGCACATCTCATCTCCACCCCGAATTTTCTAGAAAGTCCACTATTGGTTTTGATTCTATGGGGTGTGTGTGTGCATGTGTGTGTTGCTGAAGGGCCGCAGAGCCCATGTTTATGAAGAGAGTCTGAGACCATCCTGGCCCCCATCCCAAGATTCTCTCCCCTGAGACTGTGCACACGAGTAAGGCCCTCAGAAAACACAAACACACGCCGCGTGAGCAGCACCACTCCGGCTCAAGAACACACTGCTTACAGTTTAGGAACAAGGGCGAATCGCATCCCGCTCAGCAGCTCGTCCTCTTGGAGCATGACCAGGGCAATGGGGTACATCTGATCGAAGTCAAAATTAAACTGCACACCAGCTGGAGGGTCACGAAGGAAATTTCTCTTGTCCTTTGATGAAAAGGGTAAAGACATGGTGAAAACCACGGAAGGCAATTAATATGTAATATGTAAATTAATATGTATTAATATGTAATGTTACAATTAATATGTAATATGCAATATGAAGGCAGTGTAATGCAACACTGATTTGACAAATACTGAATCCTCCTAAAGACTTCAGCCACAAAGTCCACTGAGCTATCATTAACCTGTGTGCTTAAGAGAGAGCAGAGAACAATGGATCCTTTCACATATATGTTGTGTGTATATATATATATATATATA